ATTATAGAATTTTTTTTTTGATATGATATAGATTATTAATTTTGTGGAGATAAAAAAGGTGTTTCAATAGTTGGTATTGCATACAAGTATGAAAAAAAAAATTGTATGAAACAATGATAAATATAATTTAGAATAATTAAAATAAAATAAATTTAATATTAAATACATAAAATTAAATTAATATATTTATTATATAAGAGATAATTTTTTTAAAAATAATGACAAGAATTAAAAAAAATAAAAATAAATTATAAGTATACGACTAAAATATGCATATTAAATTAAAATTAAAAAATATATTTTAGTATAAAAATTAAAAAGTAAAATAAGTAAAATTATATTAACTAAAAAAATATTTTAACTATTTTTAATACATAAAAATGATAAATATAAAATGATATCTCGTGAGAAGGGAATGACATATTTAGATCCAATGTGCACTTAATAATTACAATTTAATTTAATACTAGATCTTATTACTTTTCGATTATCTTAATTACATAAATTTTAAGATCAATTCATATATTAATTACGAATGTCTTTGTTATGTGATAATATTTTTAGAAATTTTTATTATTTTTTCACTTATGCAATGTACATTTAAATGTTTGTTATATATAATAAAAATTTATAATAAATTATATATCAAATAAATATTATATTAAAATTAATATTTTTAAATATATCAATTATATTTTAAATTTATGATAAACAATTTATATTGTAATATAAAATTAATTTATTTATTGATAATTTATTTTAAAAATATTAAATTTTAATTTATAAATAATTATGATAAATAAAAATTGAATTAAATAAAAAATTAAAAAAATCTCTAAAAATTTTCTTGTTGGATTTAAAAAAAAACATTTTCAAGAAATTTAATATATAGAAATTGATTTCTATATGATTTGACTTAATAAAAAGTATATTTATATACTCCTTTTTATTAAAAAAAAAACTAACACCTTCGCATATATTTATTTTTTATTTTTTATTTTTTAACTGTTTGCTAGTATTTTAATTTGATAAAACTATATTATGTATAGTATTATTGACACAAATATATTACGAGTGTAAAAAAAATTTACACTATTAACCAATTATAAATTATGATCAATAAAATTATTTAAGTAATTAATATAGAAGCTAATAAAATTAACATAAACAGTAGTGTATGATCAGATTACAGTGTAAAACATCTTTCATTATATCAAAACGTATTATTTATTCATAAAAAATAAATTAATCGCCACTATTTTTTCTTCATTCCATCAATGGGGTTATTAGTGTTAGACTGATCTGTTTTTGGATTAATAACTGTTTGAATTGTGCAACATTGACTAATAAAAAATTAAGTTTGAGAATTAATTTAAACAAGTTTGGACTTGTAAGAAGGGCACATAATGCCCCCAATATTGGGTTTTATGAAATATGCCAAAACGGTGTCGCATAAAGTTGATTCTGAAGTATGAATTCCAGTTCTGGGAATACAAATTGGCTTTGGATTGGGACATCAATAAAACCTACCAAAACATTTATTGATAAATTTTTTTAAAAAAGTAGCATCAGTCATCCGTTGTAGTCTAGTTGGTTAGGATACTCGGCTCTCACCCGAGAGACCCGGGTTCAAGTCCCGGCAACGGAATAATGTATTTTATTTTATTTTTTTATTTGTGACTAAATAAATAAGGACCTTGACAAATGCTATGTAGTGACTAGTGAATGGAACTTGTTAGGAAGGTTATATATATCTACTTTTTGAGTACAGCTCAAAATTGATTTTTTTTAATGAATAGTTCATAATTAGTTTTATCATGTAAATTTATTATAACTTTAGAAATTTCAGTTCTACATCTCATAATTTTAGTTCTAATAGTCTCTTGTATTGAATGGTCTTTATAAGTGATATCTTGACCATTTGAACTTGTCATTTAAGTCACATTTAATGCTAATATTATTTTGATCAAGTTTAGGTCGACTCATGAGATTGAGTCGGGACAAAGAACGGTAATTAGGGTCATTTGATAAACATCTTGATAACTAATTTGTGAGTGATCTATCTTGACTGTAATATCGGGAGGATACACAACCCCTCAATCTCAAGTGATGAGGTGCGAAGAAATTTATGACAAATGTTTCGACATGCGAATCAAAAAGAACTTATCTTAGTCATAATACTTGAAGGGTATACTAGTCCCCTATTTTGAAGTACAAGGTGCAAAGAAGCCGTAAAAAACATTTTTTGTATTTCATCGTTTGTTCGAGACTTTTCATAATATTTTTGAGATAGTACATTTGTCTCTTAATTTATAATATATAATATAAATTATATTTTAGATTAATTTAAGATATATAATTTACATTGTGTATACAATCTTTAATTGTTCATAGTTTATTTTAAAAATATTAAAATTTAATTTATAAATAAATATGATAAATAAAAATTTAATTAGATAAAAAATTTAAAAAATCTCTAGAAATGCTTCGTTAAATAATAGCCATTAAAAATATCTTCACACAAAATAATTATTCACATTTAATATATGAAAATTATTTTAATTCATAAATAAATATGATAAATAAAAAAAATTAATTAAATAAAAAGGTAAAATAATATCTATAAATACTCTTATCAAAAAATAACCCTTAAAGATACTTTTGCATAACATAATTTGTAGCGATTAATATGTAAGAATTGATAATGAGTGATGATACGTAGTTAATAGTTAAGTTATCGAATAAGAATGTATAGCTGATTTGCATTTTTATCTAATAGTAGTGATGATATGCCAACAATTCAGTATTATCTAATAAAAATGTATAACTTTTTTTTAGAAAAATATAAATATAAATATATAACTAAAGTAAAGAATTTTATGCATTCAATTGTAGCTACCAAATATTGTTATATGGTACCGTGGTTAAGTTTTAATTGTCCATTGTCATATAATGACTTAATTAATTAAAAAATCTGAAAGTGATTTGAGTTGTATACAAGTTAAAAATGTTTCTAAAAGTTTTATTTTTATTTATTATTATTTTAATAAAAAATACTCTATTTTTAATAAGATTATTCTCATAAGCACTTTTAAACTCAAACAGGCTATAAAATTGCAAATAATCTAAATATTATGGTTAAACCTGAAATTAAATTTAAATTTTGTTATGTATATATTTGATCTTGTAACAATTTTTAATCATTAATATTCTAATCAACTATTATAAAGATACTTTTTTCTTTAAAATCCATATCTCCATCTCACCTTATTACAGGAGCCAAATCCTTGTTTTGGAATCTTAATTAACATTGTTTTTTATTAGGTGCATAGTAGTTAGATCTTCACATGCTATGCCTGGTGGAAAGATATTTATTTTAAATAAACAGATGAACACTACTCGACAATCCTTACCAAAAGGTTTACATATATATGAAGATGAAAACTCATGATGCATGGCAGCAATGTTGTTAGCAATTGTGACGACCCTACTAAAGGATGTGTCCCTTAGATAGAAATGGAGTGGTCCATGCAAAATGTCAAATAATAAAGGTGGAACTTTAAAGTTCTTTGTGGCATTTAGGATCCGATTACATTAATGTGATTTGGTGGAAGGCTTTTATGATTAACCTGTATCAGAAAATCAAGTACCAGAAAAACACTGCCACTACTGCTAACCCTTTTCTTTGAGTGCAATGCAAGCCTAATACGAAACCTCATAATGGCAATTTATGGTTCAATGTTATTTTAATGGAAACATGAATTTGAAAAATTCCACTACTAATTTCTGGAATGCATGCAAAGTTTGGTGCGATAATAATGACTTGGGCCTACCCGCCCGTTTGGTAAGTTGTACATACTTCTCTTCTCTTCGTGTTTGTGAATACTGAATATTGCAAGCTGGGAGTAGAAAGGATAATTATGATCCAAAAATTCTAGCATCTTTTAGAAGTTAACATCAGAGGATTATAAATATTATTTTCTTTTAATCCACTTATATGTTTTTAAGATAAAATTGTGATGATTTGACAAATATCAAAATAAATAATATTTATATACAGTAATCTTAGTGATTGAACTGATATTATTTTCTTTTTATGTAATATAATAACATAATTGATTATGCTAGTTGACAATCTTAAATCCGATTATTTTACACATTTTGTCTATGTTCTTGTGTATACTATATTACATTAATAATATATTTCAATATTATTAATATTACTTATGATACCTAATTTATTTATGTTTTACTTACATATTTTATTATTTTAGTAGCATATTGGAATATAGTGCCTGATATTACTTACACGATGTTATATTTGTCATTAATTATTTTCAACTAACTTCATTTGCATGACAATCTCTCCTTTGAAAAGGTATTTTTGCAACCTATATAACTCTCATAAACTTTCATATAATTTCTCATAAATCATTTCTATTAAGCAGAAATATTTTTATTAAATCTTTTCTAATATTCACTCTTCTCCCCTCAAATTCCTCTTAAATTCAGCCCTGCAAAGTGTTAAGGTGGTAACATACTCCAAAGTAATTGATTTAGATAATTACTTTTTTTTCCTGCGTCGCCTACTAAATTTTGCTCATTGGTTATTACTATACTTGAATTTTTCTATTATTAATTATAAGTTTAGAGGCCAAAGAATTTTTTGAAGCTAGAGATATCACCCGTGAGACAATATAATATTAAGGAGACTTGAAGGGTGAAAAAACTAATGAGTTTTAGGCATTAACTTTTAAATTGGATAAAAACATATTTTAATGCATATTCTATTTTCCTTAATTTTCAAAATAAATAATATAAAAAAGTGCAAATGTACAAATATGTTTTTTGTGGAGAGAAAGAGACGAAGTTCAAGGTGATCACGTGGCCGTGGCTCTAATACAGAGCAGGGAGTGGAACTGTGGAGTGTGGAAGATGGATAAAATAAGTTGATCTCATTCTTGGAAGTTCAAATTTTGAATTTTAGGTAACAATAGAATAAAATAAAATGGGTCTAACTCTCTCTCATATAACGTACAGTAACATTTAAATATTCCGGAGTTATGTTGTCTGTCGGTATATCACGAAATCGCTAACAATGTGTGTCTCTTTGTGTCATGAGATGATAGAGCATACCTGCAAAACTCGAAGTTTTCAATACGTTTTCTCTTTCCTTTTTTTCATTTGTTTTTTGTTGAGCAGGAATACAGTTTTTACCCTGCACGAAGTAAGCATATGATATAATAAATATCGTACTAATAAGGTGCACAAATGATTAATATCGTTGCTCAGAGTTAAAAGTCTTTTAACCTTGCCATTTTTAATGATCATGTCTAACTCGAGCTTAATAATAACCAAGAAGTTGACAATTTTGGTTGAGACAGGATCAACAGTTAAATATGAATGAAGATGAATTCCAACCATGTTTTACCATTTATAGTATTTCGATATACTTTTCAATCTACAATCAATTCTATTTATGTTATATTTTTCTATGACCAATTTAAATTATGTGTTTTTAATGTCTTCATATGGTAGTTGGTGTAGGACTAATTTAGCTCACATGATGCTTGTTAGTATATGACTAATTTAAATCATGTATTTTCAATGTTTTCGCGGGACAATCATTGTATGATTGATTTTATTCATATTGTGCTTGTTAGTATACAATCTATTCAAGTTATACATCTTCAATGTCTTTGCGTGATAGTTGGTATACAACCAATTCTAGTAATGTTGCACTTGTCGGTGTATAGCTGATTCAAGTCACGTATCTTCAATGTCTTCATGTGACAGTTAGTGTATGGTCGATTCTACTCATACTATGTTTGTCAATGTACAACTGATTTAAGTCACATATCTTCAATGTATTCACGTGGCAATCGATGCATAATTGATTTTAATGAGGTACTTGTTAGTATACAATCAATTCAAGTCATGTAACTTCAATATCTTCACATGATAGTCTATGTACGATCAATTCTACTCATGACACACTTATCAGTGTACAATCGATTCAAGTCATGTATCTTCAATGTTTTTGTGTGATAGCTGGTATACAATTGATTCTACTCATGTCGCATTTGTCGATTTATAGCCAATTCAAGTCATGTGTCTTTGAGTCAAGTTTGTAATGTTGAGTAATTGTTGTTTGACAGATTCAACAATCTTAGAACCAATAGATTTGCCGATCCTTTTTTTTTTCCTTTTAAACCATTTGTTTCCTTAGGTGTGGTTATCAAAAAAGTTTTATCAAAACTCCATGGTGGGCACCAATGTTTTGATATAAAACCTAGGATTGTTCTATCTAGAGCATAAAAATGAAATTATTAAAAGAAAAAAAACTTAATTTTCTCTTCTTAATCGTAGTCTTATATAATAATTAAGTTATATCTTTTGATCTTATTAAATTATATTTGTCTTTATCATTTAATTTATTTATTTTATATTTTCATAAAATTATTTATCATGATAATTTATTTTTATTTTTAATTTGTTTAAATTAATATTTTTAATAATAAATATATTATTTTATAGTCTTATACATCAAATCTATAAACTCAAAAAGATATAAATTTATTGTGTAGATCAATCATTATTAAAATGATTAATCTCAAGTTAATCTATTACTGACCTAAGAGGTGGATTGACGATAGACTTAGGAAGTTACAATTAGAATTAATCTCTTCCATTAAATTAATCTATTGTTTGTACATAAAATTATATTATAATATTCATATAAAAATTTGATATTGCTTTTTTCTTGCAAATAAATGTTCTGTTGCACAACACTGATTGTCATATTTTTGAATGTGTACAATTGTATAATATGAGTTCACCTTTCGAATAAACCAGAATCACTACCTTTCCTTGTTTAATAGTATATATAAAACAAGGGTGATAGCGAAAAGAGACGCTTTCAGTTCTGATTTGAATCCGTGATCATAGACAGCATTCGCTGTTGACTGCCAACACTCAAAGATGACAACTTGCTACGGCCAAAGGACAGAGAATGAGCAAATAACAGCTGCTAATAGCAAGCAGGGTCATGCATGGAGGTTGGTTTCTGAATTCTCTCTCTCTAACACACATTCCTCTTTGAAATGGGTTATCTCACTGGCAAGAAAAAGAAAAGAACTCACGTTGTTCAACTGGTTGTTTCAGTGACAAGAAAATGGGAGGACACAATGGTTTGAATACTTTAGAGTGCCTCAGAGGGAGATTACTAGCAGAGAGACAGGCTTCAAGGGTAGCTAAAGAGCAAGCAGAATCAATGGGAAACAAGGTAATTTTCATACATTGTTATCAGACAATTTAGATTTAGAATCTGAGACTGATCTAACTCATTTCATTCTTATTGAAGTGACTCTAATATTATCTTAAAATGAAAAATTAAGTATAACTCATTTTTATAAAATCAATTTATATGATGAAGATTGTTTTACTTATATACTCTAAATTTTTTACCTGTATAACTCTGACGTCATTTTAAAATATAAAATTGAATATAATTCATTTTTATAAAATTAATTTAATGTGAAATTAAATATAATTTATTTTTATAAAATGAATATAATTCATTTTTATAAAATTAATTTAATGTGAAATTAAATATATTTATTTTTATAAAATCAATTTATATGATGAGATTGTTTCACTTATATACTAAATTGACCATTTCACTAATCAATGACATTAATTTCAGTTTATTCTTGACCAACTTTATATTTTGGAATTTTATTTCTCTCTAAAATTGAAAAAGAAAAAAAATCTTGGGTGGTTTACAGTTTGTTGAGCTGGAAAACAAGCTTAAAGAAGAGATAAAACTAAGGGAAAAAGCAGAAAAAAAGCTCAAGGCTTTAAAGAAGAAGCTTGAATGTTTCAATGTGTCATCCCCATCATCAGGGCAATCTCATTCGTCAGGGAAATGTGAAAGTTCTTGCGGATCTTCCTTATGTAGTACAGCTTCTAGAGATTCAGCTGCAAATGAAACGAAGCTTCATGCAGGAAATCCAGCTTTGTTAGAAAATGAAGTTCACAACCATAATGTTGCAGAAGAATATGTACTCTTTCAGGCCCACAATAGTCCACTCATTACCAAAGATTGTGGTTCTCAGTTAAATGATGCTTCAAGTTCAAATTGTAATTCAGACCCAATTAACTTCTTCCCTCAAATTCCGGGCAAGACTCCAAATCAAGGCTTAGATAATTTGAAGAATGGTGAAAACAGGTATCCAATCTGAATCTGGAGTCATTGCATTTGGTGCAAAATTCGGATCATATAATTGAATTTATTGGTTGATTTCGTTTGGCTCTATGTCAGACTTTCACTTTCAAGCTCAAAATCATTGGAAAAAAGGTTATAATTCTCAGGGTACCGACGGTAATAGCTCAAATCGAAGCCTCACTCAAGCTTTCCCTGAAAATATTTGTCATGATCCAAATCCAAGATAATGGAAGCAGGTATTCATTTGAACATGCGGAGACATTACATTAGGTATTAGTATTATATTAGACGAATAGTTTTTGTCCTTCAATTTAATTTCTCTGAAATGGTTACCAATTTTGAAGTTGGGATCTGTTTCAGGCTTTCTGGTTTAAGCTAAAAACTATCAAAACTCACTGATATTGGTTGCTGTGACTTTTCCAAGCAACATAACAGGCCACTTGTAATAAAAACCATTTAATGGAGAAGAGTACTTGAAGCTCTGGATGCAGTGAGATCAAGTCCAATGATTAAAGTTGGCCCAAATTAACTTGCATACTGAGATAGTAATAATGCTAATTTGTTTACATATTAATGATCGATGTTTAGAGTAATTAATTTGTTAAAAATAATAGTTAGTTCTTGCTCTCTTATTCGTTGAGCACAATCCACTTTGGACTCATCAAGATAGAGTAACTTGCATCTCATCTCACTTTTCTGAAATGAATGATAGGTGAGAACAGCACATGCGGGCCTTGGTAATAAGCAATTAAGATCACTAGCATAGAGAATTGATGGTTTGTAACTGAACAATTATACTCGGAGGACTTGATGGTTTGTAAACTGAACAATCATAACAAGGGAATTTTGTGATTTGCTGCTTTAGCATACGGGCCACTTAGCAAAAGTCACAAACAATCATGCTGTACAAAGATGCCTACATCCATGGATAATAAGGGATCGAATTTTTGTTATTGTTGTTGTGCATGTTATCCTCAACTAAGAGTCATAGACTATACCTTCGAAGTATAACAATCTATTTAAGACACCGATATCTCTTGATAAGCCTTTATCTATACACAAATATGAAAATCAAATCTCTAACTACATATTTAAGGAGTATAATTATCAACCAACTTTATTGTACCATGTTGGTGGGATCAAGATTTTAGTAATTATGAGTTTATCTTGATTATTTTCTTTTTACTATATCTTGTATAAGTCTGTGTGTGCGTGAATATTTGCTTAATTGATATATGTGTAAGTACATATAGATCTGAGATAACTATTATTCATGTACATTCCATCCAATGTCATTCCTGCATATTTGTAGTCATATTTATAATTTTAAACAAGTTAAATGAAATATTTTTCTTTAATTAATAGTCTCATTAGAACTTTAATTGATAGTAATAATAATGTTATATTGGCTTGAGTGAAATTGAATTTAAATTTCTTAAAATAAGATTTTAAATTGGCCTCACGAATATAAAAAAAATATGGTTATAGGAGAGAAACTCACCAAAGATGGTTAATTAAAATTTTTCAATAAAATTGAGTCATTAACAAAGTTAATAAATATTTTAAACTTAAAATATGTTTAAAAAAATCGATAATAATAAATTTAGCACTCACATTAATGAAGTAAGTAACGAATATAGTGACGAGCCATATGTCATTTGTGATGGCTCTCTCCCTTCCTTGCAAATAAGCCACACAGATAAATATTAATAGATTATATGATACCCAAATAACACTAATTTGACACTAATAACTCTAAGGTTAATTGTTAATTTCTATGCCTCTCCCTTGCCACTTTGCCCATGTATCTAAGGCTTCTCTTTTACTTCCTACAAATATGACATGAAATCATTACATACTTCAACATGTTACACTAATACAAAAATGTAAGCTAACACTTACACTTCTTAGCTTAGAGTGATAGGATTTGGAGCTACTATCATGGTAATAATTATCTTGTGAAATATCTTCAATTGATAAATTTAACCCTTCTAACTTATCATCTCTTGATTTGACTTGGATCTCTACTCGTTCTAATTTGTTGGATCTTGCCTTATACATGTCTCAATCTTCAATTATTTTTTTCACAAACACAATCTTGGTAAAAATATCCCTGGATGAACTAAACAACTTTAGCATTGTTGGCCGCAAATGAAATGAACTACATATACTTAGAAATAAAATCTTATGAATTAAAGTTAAGATTTCTAAAATTATGATTTGAGATATTAAAATGATACCAAGGTATAAAAATATTTATACATGTATCTTATAGCATTTGATTGAGTTTCACATTGTCACATCATACTTAAACAACATTTTGCATTCTCACTCTAATGGTAAAATTTTAAACAATTCATAAGATATATATTATGATTTATATATTTTTTATTTATACTTAATTTTATTTGATGGGTGAACATGCAAAGAAACAATTTTTTAAGTTAAACAACTGTATTTTATATAAGATACAATGTTTAAAATTAAGCAATTGGTGTTGCCACCTAAATTGTCTCCAATGCAAAAAAAAGAAAAGAAAAAAAAAAGACAACATCTTATGTTTGAGATACACTTGAGATATTCTATTGTTGATGCTCTAAATGTTGTCCTTATCAACTCATCCATATCATACAAGGCAAGTTTGGATGCCACTTACACGTGTAATAAAATAATGGAAGAATTTAATGAAAATGAAAAAAAGATTTTTGAGAAATTCATTTGAAAAAATAAAAACAAAAAATCATACACTTTTTGAAGAAACAAAAACTTGTTTAATCCACTGGGGTATAACATACAGTTAAAGAGTTGTTGGGCATTCTAGTCTTACTACCTTATAAGATAAAGGAAGCATGATGACTTGCTTCACAAATAAAGAGCAGAAATTGACCTATGACAAGTGACATGCATGCTAATAATCAGTGAGCACCCCATGTACTAGTGTTATTGTATTATTAAAAGTTTTGTTGCAAAGTTTTTGCTTGGAGTCCAGATTTTCTAGGGTCTTAAAAATGAAATTGACCTCTTGCAAATGAAAATAAAAAAGTAGATGATCAATGATTTTAAATTTGGTTTTATTATTGTACCATTAAATAAATCATTTCAATAATTAATTGAGATTAGTTGCATATTGAAGACCCTATTAGTGGGGGTGTTTCTTTAAAATAATAATAATAATAATAATAATAATTATCATCATTATATATAAAAAAGCAATAAATAAATGTCAAAAACAATAATAAATAAATGTCAAAAATAATTATCAGTAGGTGTAATATATGAAATTAGATGATTTAAAATCTAATATTTTAAACATATACTAATAATTTAATTAAAGTAAAAGAATACAAGTATTATTTTTACTATAGTGTAAATTCGTTAGTAATTAAGATCACAGTTTTAAAAAATTATGAAAAATACTAAACATTCAGGCAAATGTTAGTATTTTCTTTCAAAAATTAAACTCAAGTATAAATTAATTATATATCTTAAATTCTTCATAAATTTTAAGATATATATATATATATAATATGTGGATTAATATAAATAAAAAATTATAATGAGATTAAAAATATTATCTATTAACATGTTAAAGAGTACGAAAAATTATAATGGAAATATGCTTCTAAAAAATTTGTAAGGATTTAAGTTATTAGTCTCGATGACGTCTCATTTTTTTTAGTTCGTAAATGCAAATAACTTATTTATGTTAAACTAAAATAGAAATATGAAAATTACAAAATAAATACCTTGAATAAAATATGTACTTATTATATTAAAAAAAATATGGTTTTCAAATCATATACACGGTTTTCATTTATGAAATTCCATTATTGAAAAATTAGGCACCATTAATTCTTGTTGTACAAACAAGACTTTAAAGATCAAGAGCCATCTATTCCTCTACCATAATGTTAATGGATTCGGTAATGCTTTTGTTTTATTATTATTATTTTTTTATAAAGAAGTATAACTATTATCACAGGCCAACTCCTATAAAAGTAATGGCACCTCCGGTCACTACAACACTATGCCTAAATCGAGACTTTATTAATAAATTAACACAAAAAAAACATATTATCAGGTTATCATCTTTAAAATATCCATACAGTACCTTTTTTTTTTTAAAAAAAATCTCTCTTAATTAATATTTAAAAAAAAAAATTGTGACAGACCAAACTTGTAAACCTAATTCTATAATGACCTATTTTGATCTAAATATTAGATTAGTTAAAATAATATTTTTATACTATCATTTAATCATATTTCGATATAAATAATAAATTTATTGAATTTTTTAATAATTATTTAAAAAGACATAAACTATGATTTTTGATTAATTAACTGTATAAAACTTTTTACAATAATAGTTCATGATTATTAAACTTTGTCCAAAATCATAAATATTGTCAAAAGTTAATATCAAGCTCAAAAGTTTTAATATCCACCATAAATAATGAATAACCCTTTGGTATGAAATAAAGTCATTATGTTAATGCATTAGGATGAATTATTATTGTTTAAGAGAAGTCTTGAGTTTCAAGCCACAAAATCTAATACATTTTTTTTATCCAAAGAAATTACAAAAGCAACTATAATATTTGAATAGAAGATCTTGCTAAGTCAACTTTATCATATCAAACTAATACATTTACCATCATAAATACCACCACTTTACTATAAAGTAATTATCTAATATATATTATCATTCTAGTGAAATTAATACTAACTTAAAAGTATAATAATGTCTTTTGTAAGAACTCTTGCAATTTTCACAGTATCTCAACCTCGCTGCTAGAGAGCTGATCGAATCAAGCAGACCTTGGACCTTAGTTCACTTAGAGCACTCCAGAAAACATTCATGACAACCCAGTCTCAGTCAAAAATTCACATCTGTTTATCTTGAACAAATTAAAATTTATTAAAATCATTTAAAAATCCTTTCACTCCCACAACACTCACATATTATAAACGAAATTAGCCTTTGAGCTAATAGATTTAAGATAATTGTAGCAGAATCAAAACACAAACCATTTAAATTAGTTATAATAGAAAAAAATCAAATTGACGGGAAAAATATGGTAGAAATTTGATGAAGAGCATATGTTGCTATCATCAATAATTTCTTTTGGATTTATGTTTTACATGTTTCCACATTGAGTGAGGTCGTTGACAGGGCCACCTGCAAGCTAGCCTGACTATTCATTGAAAATGTCTTAATACTATATGTATGATCCATCATGCGGTCCTGTTTTCCAACTATTCTCTGAAGAGATCACATCCAAATTTATTATTGGTGGAACCCATGCATAACCATTATTCACTTTGCCAACATCCATAACCACAATATATAATGGATAAAACCCTTTTGAAAACCCTTTTTATTTTCATAAACTATTGCTGGCTAACTAATACACGTTCACCAAATAATCAGACGACCACAAGTTTATGTTGTTGGTGATGGAATTAGAAAACCATAGTCTGTTGTTGTATACAGAGAATGCATGCATTATTTCAAGTTCCAACGTGTCTTCATGCGCGTATCGTATATTTTTGAATATGGCAACAGCTGAAGCCCCTCGTGACCCTTCCCTATCATGATATAACTTTTAAAGCTTTTATACCAAAAAGATTGGATTTTTCCCAAGGGTTAGTCTCTCATAACACAGTAAATGAGAAGTTAAATATCCATAAAAAAAAGTATTAAAGTTTAGTATTCAATAGTGGCTGTAACATGATTACCTTTTAAAAAAAAATTCAAAGCTTATTAGACCAAGGCATATGCTGGTGGGTGAGGTTCATCCAACTCTCTCATAGTACAAATCTAAATTTGAGTATGAAAAAGAAAAGAAAAAGTACAGTTTCGTCATGCAGTGAGTCGGTGACACAAATTCCAGGCTATTTCGTATCTAAATGAAATGACTATACAGGGGAAATTGGGTGAATGAATCTGGTGCTATAGTGGTAGATACTAGATATGACATGGCTTTGAATATGATCTATTTTCTTTTCCTGGTTAAAATTTTTAGGTAAAAGCAAACAGCAAACGTGAACATTGCCTTTTTACTTCAAATCTATTTGACCATCCTCCAACATTTTTGTCCACAAAACCAATTAGGTAGTTGTTAAAGAACGACTTTTAGACATATTTTACTCATGATATTTTATAATTTATTTTCTAATTTTCTTTTTTGTGGAATCACAGTATTCCAATTAGAGACTAATTTATCAAGATACTGAAATTTATTAGATTGAATTCACGACTACATACCTTGACTTAGGAAGTGTATTTATTTGTCAATCATATCAATTTATGTTAGTACTTACTAATTTTCTTAAAATTCAGACGTATAGGAGTCTATTCTGAAGTAAAACAAAGTGATATTTAACAGATATCTTGAAGTAACTAGTACAGTTGAAAGATCAAGTGCATGAACCCATTATGGTAAGAAGGTCAGAAAACCCGTGGGTCGTAGACTCCAGATCTAGTAAAGTCATGAATTATCACGAAAGGTAAACGAGGGAAAAGATGACGTTTAGCCAGAAAAATGGAAAGTGGAAGTGGTAGACAAGCAAAGTTACCTAACATTGAGGATTATACCTTTTAAATGTGATGGAACTGAAATCCCAGCCATGAAAACCTTAGACACCCACATGGCCACAAAACATTAAAATCATGTGGGGCAGATGAAAGGACAGGAGTTACAATGTCAGACTTTGTAGTTTAAATCTCTTTTCATTTTCTGATCTTAGATCTAGTCTAAGTGCTCTGAAGATCCTCTGTCAAAAAGATCCAAAACCCTTTTCTTATCCATTGCTCCATTTATCACTCAAATCTCAGACCAACTCTGCCATACTGAGTCTTTATGTGCTTTTACAGCTAGGTCTGTTCCTGAAATTTGGCACACCAAAAACATTCAGCTCAAGTTCTAGGTACATAGAACCAAACACGCCTCAGTATTCTCTGAACTTGCATGAAAGCTACTTGGATTTTCATCCCAAGGTACACTTCTCAGTTAGATTGGCCCATACCAATTTGTTTTTTAGCTAAAAATTGTTATTATCTTATGATGTCTGCTTTTCCTAGGTATATAATATAACTTAAGTAACTCGGATCGTGTGAAGCATCTTACTTCAGTCACAGAAACTTGATCTTTTGTTACTCTAAGGGGTTGCCAAAAGAACTATGGTTAGATCCTGCTGGAAACCAGCTGCGGTGGGTGATGAAAGAGATGTGAATGGACGAGTTGAGGGGCTGCTATGGTACAAGGACTTGGGGAACCATCTTTATGGGGAATTCTCAATGGCTGTAATTCAAGCTAATAGTTCATTGGAGGATCGTAGCCAACTTGAATCTGGACCCTTGACTTCTGATTATTTGGGTCCTCAAGGAACCTTTATAGGTGTATATGATGGTCATGGTGGCACCGCGGCCTCACAGTTCGTCACTGACAATCTTTTCTGCAATCTTAAGAGTATGCTTTTCCCTCAACTTTATTACTATAAGCATATGTGTATTTTAAGGAAATATAGTTCTTCCATGCTGCTTTGCAAATGAATTGAAAATACTGAAAAGCCTATAATATGTTCTTCCTTCACCCTAGTATTCAAAACGTTGGTATTCTTGTGAGGTCTAATTAATTAATCTTGGGGTAGCTCGTTTTTAAACATTATTCTCAACTGAATCTGGTTTCACCATGTTCAGACTTCTTCTGAAATAATTTTGGAAGAAAAAAATAAGAATGAAAAATAAAATAAACTTCTTTATAAATTTTTTGTTTTGTTTTGTATCGTATCATAAGATTTTGTTTTAAATTAATATGATTCAACTGAAAAGTAAGTAATACCTAGCCAAAATTATTAAAGCTAGCTCATGCATAAATTAATTTGTAATTTTTTGGATAAGCTATATGAAAAAGTTTCTAAAAATTAGTTTATGTACAAACTGATTTTGACTATAGAAAAATTTATTTTATTTTTGTTTCTTATCTTTTTTCTCCTAGAAATACATCTAGAAAAGTTTATTCAAACATACTCTTCACATGCTGGGACCAAAATTGAAGAACAACATAACTTGGACCCTATATTTGACAGTGAAGACTGAATTGTTAATGACTATAAGTACAAAGAGAGACTTGTACAAATTGAAACAAGTGTCATGTACAGACAAAGTTAAATAAAAGCACTGATGTTTAAGAAACTTGCTACATAACAAGAATAATTTTGTTGTATTATTAATTTCATTGTGGTGATACAATTTTATGTGTGAATCAGGTTTGGCTGCTGAGCAACAAGGCATTTCAGAGAATGTTATACGAAGGGCCTTTTCAGCAACAGAAGAGGGTTTTCTGTCTCTGGTGAAGAAACAGTGGCTGAGCAAGCCACAGATTGCATCCACGGGTACATGTTGTTTGGCGGGGATAATTTGCAATGGGATGCTGCATATTGCAAATGCAGGAGATTCAAGGGTGGTGTTGGGGAGAGTAGAGAGAGCAACAAGGGAAATATCAGCTATACAATTATCTGCCGAACACAACGTTAACATCCAAACAGAGAGAGATGAACTTCGGTTAAAGCACCCTTATGATCCACAAATCGTGGTTATGAAGCACAACGTTTGGCGTGTGAAAGGCCTGATACAGGTAGAAATTTGTGAGATTCGTAGAACTTGTTAATGAATTATCTCTAAAATCAACTGCATCTGCATGTATTAGATTCTCGAATCAAACCGTGTTTATTTACTTATAGGGAGAATGACGTGTGCTATTGCATGATTGGTTATGCTTGACATTGTTGAGAGGGTTATAAGCTACAGGAAGAAAACATGTGAATTCCAAATTAACAGATTTAGCCTTTGCAGGTTTCAAGATCCATAGGTGATGCATATCTGAAGAAGGACGAATTTAACAGGGAGCCTCTACAGCAGAAGTTTAGACTACCTGAACCCTTCTTCAAGCCAATTCTTAGTCATGAACCATCAATATCAGTACATAAGCTTCGTCCTGAAGATCAATTTCTCATCTTTGCTTCAGATGGTTTATGGGAGCAACTTAGCAACCAAGAGGTTGTCAACATAGTGAGCAATAATCCACGAAATGTAAGGTTCCTTACGTCCATTCAAGGATGCTCTCTTATGATGCAAGAGTTCTCTCTGAATATTAATGATTGGTGATTCATGTAACAGGGAATTGCTAGGCGACTTGTGAAAGCTGCACTTCGAGAAGCTGCTAGGAAGAGAGAAATGAGATTCTCGGACCTCCAAAAGATTGAACAAGGAGTGAGGAGACACTTCCACGATGATATTACAGTTATTGTTGTATTTCTAAATCCCAAACTCATTGATAATAGCTCTCTCATGGCTTCTCCTCTTTCAATCAGAGGAGGTGGGTCTGTCAATTTTTAGTTTAAACAATTATGGGCTTCTTCTTTACAGAATTCTTACCGAAAGAAAAGCATATAATATAACATCACACTTCCACAATCGCAGCATGCTTTGCAAGTCCTTAAAGCAGTTTGTGATTATTGTTGAAGCTTGAAGATTATCATGGAATAAATCTTTCAAACCCGATATCAAAGGATACTAAAAGAAGAGGCCCAGCCATACAGCTTATTCCCCCAACAACAGTAAATAAATAGACAAGTCATTAGTAATATGACATTGTGATGATTGATGAATTTACGAAAATAGTAACGATTTACGTATATCGAAACTGAATAAAGCACTTATCACTACAAGCAAGTTTAAATTCTCCTCCGATTTCTGTTCCGTTTTTGATTTAATGTTTCCTACGGCGAAACTACAGCATCAGGTCGCTCAACCTCATGCAAGGGCGCATAATATCTAAGCTAAGTAATTTGCGTATTAGTTTGTCCTTGTAGGCATTGCTGTTGCTGAGGTCTGTTTATGGTGATGAATGCAATTAATTTTCCACCAGAAACCAGCACTGACGACAAGAAAAACCTTGTATCAAAAACATAGCTTCTGAGTGATGATGTACTATAACATCGCTTCTAATCCACTTTTTCTATCCCGCTTTTATTTATTAAAATTAACTTAAAAATAATATAAAAAAATTATATAATTCCCGCACTTTAATTGTAAAAAAACCCCACCTAGATACTTTTTCTAAAACACTTTATTGTTAGTTAAAACTTGTTAAACAACAGTTAATTCTTACACCCTATTTAATAAACCTCCTTCATAATTTTGTAACTTCCAAAAAATTTTAACTTACACGTTGATAAAAAAGGAATATTAGAACATAGTTTTGTAACTTCCAAAAAACCTTAACCGATAAAAATATGTTTTAAAAAAAAGTATAATAAAAATTCGCTCCTTGCCCTCCCTATTGGATAAATATCATGACAATTGACAAAGCGCTACCATCCAGCTCCAAAAGCCAAACACCAAACATGTAGAAAAATTAGCTAAGAAAATACAGAATTCGATAATTTTGAATATATATGAAGATATTCTACTATGGTAGTGCAACAGCCCATCAGGGCACTCCCTCGTTTAACGCCCTCTGATAAGCCTCAGAGGCTCAGATTGGGAATTGGAAGGAAATTCCCAGATTATACTCGATCTCTGCGAAAGCTTTATAATCTCCCTTAACGGTAGTTTTGCTGTGTGTTTACATAAAAACATGGAAAGAGTTTGACATAAGCTGGGGTGGTGATTTTATAATTATGTGCCCCATAATGTAATGATCCTTCCATTCATTTATACTAGCTAGCAAAATATTTAAACTCCAAACATTGGAACAAAAGTACAAATTACAAGGTAATTATAATAAAAGGAAAAAGGTAGAGAGTTTCCCCCACATCCAGCCCTACAAAATGTACATCTCTAAATTTTGGCAACCAAATAAACTACGAAACACATCTTCAAATGGTTACCATTAAGGCGACAGCAAAGACAATAAAAATTGGAAGCTACAGCCTTGAAAATAAACAGACGATTAAAAACTACTTGAAAACATATGCAGAATTTCAGCCACGCCTTTTGAGTTTTCATTTCAAACATTCACCTGACCACTATTCACCCTCATTTTATTTGTTGTGCCAAAAGATAGTACCAGGAACTCCAGCTTTCAACATTTTCTGCTGATCCAGTAAAGTAGTGCAATATCTAGCTCTACATCAAACACGATAACATTTCTACAAGAACCAAAACATAGACTATTGACCCCCTTTTCCAGAAACAAGCTTCTAATCCACATGATGTGCTTTAATAGCTACTTTCAAATAAGATCTAAACACGATAAAACTCAAAAGTGGCCAATTAGGAATAAACACATTAACGAACAACTTCAAGAACACTAGGATTGAAGAAAAGCAATTTCACATTCAAGTGATATCAGCTTCTACATGTTTATACCCCCCCCCCCCCC